CGTGGGCGGAGCAAGTTCTGGCTACCGTGCCAGCTGGACCGCGACGTCGCCGGGCTGGAAATCACCGAGGACGGCTGGGAAGAGACGCTGGAGACGCGCTACAGCCTCGTGGATTCCCTCAGCCACGTCATGCAACTAGAGTTTGCTCAGGAGATCTGCAGACGACAGGTCTTCACTGGCAATGTTGTCAAGGACGACCACGAGACCGTCATGATTGACGCCGATCACCCCTTACGTCATACCCCTCTGGCGTGGTTCTGTCTTGAAAATGGCGCTGAAGATGAAGATAGTGGTCTTGCTGGGAATGTGAAGTTCTCTACACCGATCGGTGTGGAGTCTGACATCGCCAGGCAGGGCGCGAGACCTACCCACAACTTCTACCTGGTGGAAATGGCTGACCTGGCTTCGTCCTGTGCCTGTCGGATTCTCGTAACCAAGAACAGTTACCCGAGTCTGCAGCCCTATGACCCGTTCAAGAGAGGGGGTCCCTGGTACTGGGACAGGAGAGGCTACCGCAACGACCACGGCGAATGGGAACGCGACAGGCACTACGTCCTGAAGCAGTTCCGGCGGTTCTACGGCCAGACGGGGTACAACTCGACCAGCTGCCGGGTGGAGTTTGTCCGGGAGGCCTCCCCTGATCAGCTTGAGCATTGGCCGGCGGTCCATAACTACGCCATTTCCTTCGTCAGCCAGGTGCAAGGGGAGAAAGAACGCAGCCCAAGGGTAGTTGACGTACACCGCATACCAGACATGACAAAGGAAGAGGCTTTCTTCGCGTTCTTGGTGTGGGTGATGAGTCCCCTCGGGTACATCAACGCGGTTGTTCGTGCGCCTGAGACACGCCAGACAGACGACGGTTTGGGGGCAACCAAGCGTCAGTTGACCGGTTACCAAGGGCAACAGCTGTCAGAAATGGAGCACAAGGCTCTCGAGGCGTTTAACTACGTTTGTGCCACGAAGGTCAACTGGATGTGTTCGCCAGAGGGGTTTCTCCCATTGGAACCCTCCCTTCACATCATGGATCAAGCTCTGACCGATGACCTTGCCAAGAAGATCGCTTCCAACATCTTGTCCGCCGCAGATTGTTCCCAGTCCGCCGTCTTCCTGCAAAACCTAGTCATTCTCCACAAGCTCCTCTCCGACGAGTCGTCGTCTGCCATGGTCAAGAGGATTCTGGGATACTCAAACGATCGCGAAGGACACATGAGTGCGATGCGTGGGGAGATGAGTCGGCTCGTGGAGGGAGGGTTGCACGAGAAGATACCGAGCGTCGCGAAAGATGTGACGGCGTTGTTCGGCCAGCTGTTTGTGGGGTACATGGAGGAGATGGCGAAGTAGCGGAGAAATGTTGAAGATATAGCAATATGCATGTGTTCTTCGGGACACTCCACGAAGTAAAACTGCCTGGATTTGCCCTCACAACCTGATCACGACTCACGAAAAGCCGACCTTGCTCTAACACCTCTAATTTTCGCCCCGACGCCGGCCCCACACTTATCAAGACGCCCAGCTCGAACTATCAATTAGACTGGCATACATCCTACCCTAGCTCCCTTCCGCCGTAAAATACTAAAACTTATAGGAATTGGGATAATCTGAAATTGGTTCAGAAAAATGAAGAAGATGAAGAAAGAAAAATCAAAACGCAGCAAGACTAAAGTTACTGAAGAAACCTAAATTGATTGAAATGTTTGAAATGCTAATCAACCAATAAAAAAGTATTCCTGTCAGAAGTGGGATTCGAACCCACGCCTGGAGAACCAGACTGCGACCTGAACGCAGCGCCTTAGACCGCTCGGCCATCCTGACGTTGTTGAAACAATCTGAATGGGACGTTACGATTTCCGAAGGATCGTCGATGAATCGTCATCATCATCGCTCTTCCTAAGAATGGCATAAACAGTAGTAGATCGAACATGCAACCTTGCGGCACACCTCAGGATGTAACAAGTAGAATACTTCATAACATTACACCCTGCTTACGGGAAGCACTGTGCTGCAGCCTATCCATTTATTCAAAGTGCTCAGCACCACGGACACAATTCCAGGGGAGTGTCAATAACAACGAAAGTGTCAAAGGCTTTCTTCAAATTTTGTTATACAATTGTATTCCACCAATCCACAAAATGACCACGCGTACTGCCGATAGCATGTAACACCGTAGTTTGTGATATCCAGTAAGATAGAAAACACTGCGCGTACCTGGTGTGCAACAAGAGTTTCGTGACAATGTAAAATACATGTACATGAGTTGTACATATACATACAGTCTTTGTTTAATACATGTACATGTACGTTCACCACATATGCATGATTCGATAGGCACACTGTGGCAGACGTAGGTTTAACCTGTGTCTGCTTCGCACGTTAACTGTGGTCACCCAATGTACAAGTCTCACCCACCCCCACCTCCCGATTTCACTCCCACACGGTATATTGATATTGCACCCACAGACTTGCATTCTTTGGGAGTGACACCAATGTAAACAGATAAGTTATATATGCCCGAGTTTTACATGCACACAGTGTTGCAGACTCCATATTTAAATGTTTGCCTATGCACATGAGCGAGCCCGACATGTCTAAATCCGATAAACTTTAACCCTAACCTTTGACTCTATTTGTCTCACACACTCTGTGCACAGGCGGTACCTAGCACGGCTACTACCAAAGTTAGTAAGACCCGTGCGCCTATACCTTTTCAGAGTGGAGGACTTGTACGTTATTTTCTTTCGGGGATAGTTTTGCACTGATTTTGAGTCTCTTGTAAACGTATAGTGACGTGGAGTGTAGAAATAAAATGCACTAGTGATGTTACGTTGTTCGGCTTTGCCGGGCTTTTGGTCGGACTTTGATTTCCTCACGATGTCTTTATATCGTCCCAATGTAGCGTAGACATGGGATTTTTATTTCATATTTCATAGTATTCAGACAGAGTCGGTTATATTTCGGTCACATAATTCCCATTTATGAACAAAGGAGTAAGACCATAAATTCTGCTGTCTCACCGTAACGTCAGGGGTATTTTTTGCCGTCTCACTTATTCAAATAACACCGGTACCTTGCACCGGCAAGTGTTACAGTGACTCTGCAACTTTGTGTGCATATATGTATAAGCGTTATCGTCGTCAGGTGCAAACAAAACGGGTGGACTGTTCAATGATTGCAAGTCATTGGCTTCTTCTTCAGAGTGTACTTTTGAAATTTGCACATTTTAAGCCCAGAGCTAGAGGTTCTTTATTTTAAAGCTAGAAGTTCTTTATTTGCTACGTTCCACAGCGTTCAACAATCTCGTCAGAACATGTCGACTATCAAGGAGCGAGGGATCACATTTCCGGCTGACGTTGTGACACGTTCCAACCTGGAACTCATGAAAACCTTTGACATCAGAGACGACGACATAATGCTTGTCACCTACCCCAAAACAGGTGAGTATGTTGATGATATTTTATCGTACTTCACAACAATGGCTTTGCTAGGTGAACACCAAAATATCGAAATCTTAAATGTATTAAAATACTATCCTTCACAAGATGACGAAACTATTTGTCTTACGGTTCCAGGTACTTGGTGGATCCATCAAGTGGTGAAGCAAATTCTGGCCTCAGAGGGAATTCAGGATGAGAAGTATTTGGGAGACTTCCCCAACCTACTCGAGTTCACCATTCCAGGAAAGGGCCCCATAGTGGAATTGTTCAAAACTGCACCGTCTCCTCGGGTCCTGGCAACGCACGTACCAGTCGAGTTCCTCCCGTCTGGTTTGCTCGGTTCCAAGGCTAAGGTAGTGCGCTATTATTATTGGGGTTTTGGTCAGAAAAGGTCAATTCATTGATTGCCTTGGGTTGATCCCTAAATTTTATAGTTAGTCGTAAAATCCCACAAATTTGTCTATAAGAGTGTTGTGACCAAGCTGGTTAGGAAAAAACGGCTATCCGTACGTGCCTTGTTTTTTCTTTGCATTTTAGACAGTTGTGTTGATGAGGAATCCCAAGGACACTGCAGTCTCCACCTTCAAGTTCTGGCAGAAAGTTCCAGAAGTAAAGACCCCGGAATCATGGGATAGCTTCGTTGAGCAGTACCTTGCTGGCGACTGTAGGTATCCAGTCTGTCGTATCAGAAGATACATTTCATTCTCAATAACGTTAAGACAATTTGCAAATGTTCAGATCTGAAGTCGGATTATACAAGACCAGTGATTAGATAGTATGCATTTGACCCCAAAAAGACGGGTTCACAAACGTGCCTGCTAGCTGGGCCTGTGTTTACACAAGCTCTCGGCCGGAGGTTAATGACCTCCGAAGGCGGCCACCTTGAGGCCGCAACCTTCGGGCGGTGGCCGCCAGGAGCGCGGTTTAGTCAGGCTAACAAACGTGCTAGGTCAATTATCAACCCTTTTGGTCAGAAAACGTAGCCTCGAAAACCCAATGTACATTGAATTCGACCATATCATCTTAGCAAACCATAATTATAAGCATCCTTTCTGCCTAAAAGCTTATTATGAAATAAAAGACTAAACTTTGAGCTTATTAGTTAGATTTTTCTAAACATTTTCCCATGCAGGTCCGTGGGGGCCTTTCTACGACCACGTCTTGGGGTTCTGGAAACTGAAGGACCACCACAACATTCTCTTCCTGAAGTATGAAGACATGAAAAAGGTATTTGTATCCTACAAAAACATAGCACGTGCGTTAAGCATAAAAATCTATATATGTAGTACGTAAAGCTAAAGCCTCGTTGCGTCCCGTAGCCTTATTATGTCAAAACACGTGGACGACTCTAAATTTCTAGTGTGTAACTGGATTTATGTCTTTTTACGAGGGACTACTACTAGTAGTAATCCAATATTCATCTTTGTAACAATGAAATGGCTCGGCTGCAACCTATGTTCACAGGACTTGCCGGCAGAAGTGAGGAAACTCTCCTCGTTCCTGGGCAGACCGTTGAGTGAAGAAGCGGTACAGGCAGTGGTCGGTGCAACTCAGTTCGACTCCATGAACAAGACCGTGGGCCAAAAAAATGGACTTTGGACAAGAAAGGGTATGAGTCAAATACTTTTTATAGAATACTGGAATAAACTGTCATCAATTCTTAGACATTGACATGTGGTTGAAAGTTCTTCGAAAATTACTGTCTTCTTTAAATAACCATCACACCGAACGTATGACAAACTTGATTCACTCTCTATGTCAGCCATCACTATAGATAACATAACTGACAAGGCTTTCAAAACGGCTAAGTTTCATTACCACGATACAGATAATACTAACAAAGCTACATAAATTAATCTAACATATATCACCGATATATTTTACCACGGTAAATAGGAATTAGTGATGCCGAGGATTGTGTAACAACACCTCACTGTAGCACGCACAGCGTATACGAGGTGTACATGCTGTAAGCTAGCGTCCTATTGTAGTTCCACATTTTCTTTTGTCCAGGAATCATCGGAGATTGGAAGAACCACTTCAGCGATGAGCAGAGCCGAGCTTTTGATGATCAGTACCGCGACAGGCTGTCCAACACTGGGCTGGAGTTTGAATTCGAGTAAACTGAGAAATCATTGATGACATGTACGCAGTAGTTGTTATATGATACGATGTTTTCAAGGAAAATTAAGAAAGTCTAGGTCTGCTGACTGTTAATTTGTAATGTTCGGCTTTGTCATCTACATTCTGATATGTAGCAATAAAGATACATATTGAATTGTCTATGAATTGTGTTGAAATATTTCTGAATTGTTTGATATCAACTTCTTACGTTTACATTATCATATTCGACTTAGTAGAGATCTATCAAAGAGATTTTATGCTGTAATTAAATTAATTAACAAAGTACCATTGTGCAAGCCCCCCCCCCCCCCCCAACACACTCGATATGCTAATCAAGTTGTCCCCCACAAACGCTCTACGCTAAATTTTGAGAGCGGCCGGCTACGTATTACGATGAATTCAAGAAGCCTCCACCATTACACTTTACGATAAATTCCGGGTAGCTACAACGCATTACGTAAAACAAAATGGCGAATTACGCTCTACGCAAAATGCGCCAATTACGCTCTACGTTGAATTAGATCGGTCCGTCTACGCTCTAAGTAGGATTAAAACGGCTGATTACGCTCTACGCCCTGGGCCCCTAAAGCCGTTAAACAAGTTTAACCCTGCCCTAGCCTAACCTTTGACTCTACTTGTCTCACACACTCCCTGCACAGACGGTACCTAGAGCGGCTACTGAAGCGAAGGTAAGCAACGCAACACTTGCACTCCAACATTAGTAAGACTACGGAGCTCGTATACCTTTTTGAGTGGATGACTTGTATGCTGTTATCTTTCGGGGACAATTTTGTGTCAACTCTCTTCTTTTAATCGTCTAGCGACGTAGAATTCAGGAATGAAATTCGCTAGTGACGTTGTTCGGCTTGCTTCTGGTCGGGTTCAGTACATGTATTTCACGGCAAGTTTATATTGTCCCAATGTAACGTAGACGTGGAATTTTTATAGTAATCACTGACAGATGCGGCTATATTCCTGTCACATAATTCGCGTTTCAGTGAACGACGTAGTAAAACTATAATTCTGCTGTCTCACCGTAACGTCCGCCGTAACGTCAGAGGTGAATTTTGCCGTCTCAAAACACCTTAAGGTTTGCACTCACTGGCATATGTGATGTTATATAGGTTGGGTAGGTTAGGTTGAAGTGGGACAACACCATACTTCCGCACGCTAGTAAC